ATCCAACTCTTTCATTGGCCTGAGGGAGTATGACACCTGCATTTCCCAAGTATTCTGCCAATTGCTTTAGCGGTCAGGTGTGCTGCAGAGTGAAATTTCTGGCATCTTTGGTCATGTCTGCCACAAAGAACACGAAGTAATCTCAGCTGCCATGCAAGAGGTAGGCATGGCTGCCTGTGAACAAGATTTGCGTGGGTGAGTGGAATCGTGTGTTTAATTTCCTGCTCCTGGAACCACTTAGGATCTTTCCTAGTGTGCTTTTTCTGCTGTCCTGCTCCTGCTTAGGCATTTCCTTCAGGAGAGACCTGCAGTCGGGTTCTCAAGCAGAGGCAGCTGTCCCTTCTAATAGCAAGCCATCCGATCAGCAGAGAGCAGCCAATTTGACCTCCTCCTCCTGCTCCGCCTCTCCCTGAGTACTTTCATGTACTCTTCACTACCTTTTATCAGGTAGTTTTAAGTGACCTCAACTCAATGTCTGATTTTAAGCAGCTTCTGACTTAGAGGCTGACTAGTTTGGATTCCTTTGTCAAATCTGTAACTCTTGCAGCGTGATGTAAAAAGAGCCCTAACTTCTGAGTTAGATTTTGTATCCCTCCCTGGCAGTGAGGCACCCACATATTAAAGACAACTCTGTGACGTTTACATTATTTTGGGTTTCACCCTTTGTGCCTCTTGCTTGTAAAGGTTTGTATACCTTGTAATGTTTTGGGGGTAGTCTAGGATTCTGGGCTATCCTATGGAAGCATGACCCTGCACTGGAAGCAAACGTGCTGGTTCCAGGACATAAACCTAACAACCTGCTTTTCCCACCACCAGTATTCTTTGAAAGATTTGAGGCACTGGAAGCAAAAAGCAGGATCCTATTATGAATGTGCACTTGCTCCATGGAAGTTAGATAACTTAGAGCAAAAAGATCTGCTCCCAGAGGTTACTGTTAATATTAACAAAATTAGTCATGTATTCCCAATAAAACCCCTCAGACTGCTGACAAAACAAATGCAACCAATGTCTTTGCTTGTTTGTGCTTTTTTGAATGAACAAAAATCTTGTATGTAAACTGATCCCCAGTTATATCTTGTTTAACCTGAACTTTTTAACAAGTACTGTCTCCTTTTGCTCAGACATTGGTGTTTCCACTGAACATGGAGGCCGCAAGAGCCTCACGAACAGATAGTAGGTGCCCTAGCTGTTCTTTTTCCTGTTCACAGGGAAAGTCGATCCTGTCAACATGGTAATGAGAAAGAGAAAAACTTAATGCAAAGTAATTTTGCACAAGATCAGTGAATATCTGTGGGGTCCCAATGGTGAAATGTGAAGGTGTATGTCAGTGTGGTAACTCCACTGTTATTACAGTAAGCAAGCTTTTATAGCTTCTAGATCCACAGCACTGTAAATGCACATTGGCCTTGACTGAGCAAAGCTGGGGTATTGACTTCAATGTACTCTGCTGCAGTATTATGGTTCTTAACAACATGCTGTTATTTCAAACAGTGAGGCCTCGTTTTCTCATCAGTAATTAGAGGTGAAGGAAATATGAGAGAATTCCTCTTACTGTTGCTTTTGATCTCTAGTGCTCCATAGCTCCTGTTCCGAAGTAAAGCACCTAGGTAAACATAAAATCCTATTAGTTGTTTCATAAGAAAGTGTTTCGCTTAGAGAAAAATTTTAAACTTTTTGTCTCATCGTTGGAAAGGACTTTGTTACTAACTGTACTGAGATAGGGTTTCTAGTGGCCTCTGGAACATTGAATCAAGGTGAAAATAGGTTTTGAAAAATGAAGCATCACAGCAGTGATGTCTCTCCCTATCTCCTTTCATCCTTCTCTCCCATCCTGCCCATTTAAGCTGGCAACAAAAAGAATATATAATCTGCCTGCGCTGGGTGATGGGGAAGTGAGGCTGAACAGCTTGGACTTGTTCTGACTGTTCTGTCCCCATCGTCCCTTTCCTGAGGGGCATCTTTCTGTCCAGCTCCTGTGTTCACCAAAGGACAGAGCTGTGTCTTGGCTCTTGAGATAGTTTGTTTTACTATGTCAGTAGTATTGCACACGGTTATTTTACTGTGGAGATTGTTAGTAGTGAAATGAGTGTGGGAGTTTAATGTTGGGTAAGGAAATGCAGGATATTGAACAGCATCATGTGCCTAAGAGTGAAGGCTGCACAAGTTTTAGAGGGCCTAGCTTTTTCAGGTATTTGATTATAGCACAGTGTAAGCAGTTCATTTAAATGTGAATTCAAAGCAGATAAACAGAAACGTGCATTACAGGAATCACTCAAAAAGGGTAATTTTTGTTTTGAGACCATTCAGCTCAGCAGTACTTCAAGAGTGCAGAATACTACTTGGTAATTTAAAATTTGCCACATGCTGATCTACGACACTGACATTTCTTAGGGACTTTTTTGTTTTTCATGGAAGAGAAACACTTGCCGTACAGTTAGAAGAATCAGATATATTTTACTGAGATGATTGTTTCCTTTAGGCCTGTGATACAAGTTGTGACACAGCTCTGCAGTGTCTCTTTTTTCTCCTATGCCTTCTGCTATGCAGTGTGCATTTGCAGGCCCATGAGAGGAGTCAGGCCTAGAGTACAGCTTTTACATTTAAATTGCATAATGATTATAGTAACTTTTCTTTGGAAGAAGATCACGATGACTGGTGCCTTTCCTTTTCCAATGCAATTTTGGTATTTCCCCCCTGGCCAATACTGCTTTCCAAATAAAACTTGTCCCATTCTTTTCAATTATTATGTGAAACGCTGTTCTTACATCCCTGAGGACCCATGCACCAATGATAATAATACACAAAATAGTTCACACAGCTATTTTGTAAAGTGACTCAGTAGCACACACGTCAGAATAGGACCGAGTGTAAGCATTCAGCTCTTTGCCTGTACAAGGTTATTGAATAAGCCGCATGTGATTAATGATACTAGTTACCTCATTAAAGGTAATTGAAGGAGAATCTGGTGCTTCAGTGTTAAAGATCTACAGAAAATACAGTTTTCATAAAAGTAATTGGAACTGGAAGTAAATTTCAGATTACAGAAGTAAAAATGTTGCTGAAAGGTTACCCGAATGCAGAACGACTTGGTTGAGTTCCCTTACCAGCTATGTAATCCACCACTGCAGGTCCTTGAAATGGAACTAAGGGAGCAACTTCACAAAACCCTTAGGACTGTGGTAACTGCACTGGAGGGTCAGGAGCTCCAGAGGAACCAGTATGGGAGGTACTGGTTCCTCTGAACGGCAGGCGTGGGACCTGGGGCTAGCCAAGCCAAGGCGCGTTGCATGCTCTGCTCTTCTGGCAAGGGGTGCAGAGCTCTCGTACTGCATGTCTGTGCACATGCTCTTGCTGTGCAAAGTGAAATATGCCATGACAAAGATTTTATCAGTCTGCTAAGGCTTGTGTTCCTCATATGTTCTCACTGATGAGACGTAAATATCCTCCGAGCTAGTTGCATAGTCTGAATGCTATAGTTATGGTGGTCAGATTTCTGTTAAAAGTACCGTGTAAAAGAGCCAAGAAATGTGAAACAGATGAAAAAGTTGTAAAACAAAGATGAGATATAATGGCTGATCTCATGATAACTTCAGAAATCGTCGGTGTCACAAAGCAATGTGTTAGTCTATGGCTGTAGAAGAAAGCATAAATGCAAAACAGGTTTTCTATTTTTCTCTCTCCAGTTAAGGAGAATTTGCCCAGGGTCTTGGCATTTCACGTTATACTGACCTGCTATTTTCTCTCATTTTGGAAAAAAACTGAGATGTGGATATTTTGTGTATTGACTTCTGTAATATAGCACATACACCTAGTGTAGCAGCTCACTGGGTCATTGCATCCCTGATGGCAATGTAGTCGCTGCTCTGCACTGAAGCAGGTGAGTTTCCTGCATCAGCCACACCTCATTCCTCTGCCCTTGGTTCAAGGTGTTCTCTGCAGCATTCCCTCCCAGGCTCTGGATGACAGCCTCCCTCTGTGCTGCAGCTCCTCAGAGATCAGCCAGTCTCTTGCCCCTCCTAAGGGCAGGGAGAATGGGCTGCTTTACTTATGAGGGTGATAGGAATGGAGGGCAGCTTCAGCCTCCCTGTATTCCTCCTCCGTGTAACCACAGAGCAGGAGGACTCTAAATTCTTCAAGATTTCATGGGGGAACTCTGGGTCTCAAATATTTCCCCATGCAGGTAAAAAGAGAACATGCAACTAGAGTGTGTGATATAATTCACCCTGTTAATGTCATTTATTCTGAGCATAGTACTCTTCCCTTTCTCTTTTAACCTTCTTCCTGTCCCTCCCTCTGCCACTTATAAACGACACAGGCAAACTATTTCAGAAGTTTGGCTTTGTCTTTTCATTTAGTGTGTGCCAGAGCTGAAAATGTGTCATCTCCCAACATTTCATTGCCTCAAATACTGTTGCAAAATGACTGAAGCCACAACTGAAGTCAAACAATCCAAGCAAGGTATCAGGGGGCTATTTTCAGGGTGTTTTTGTTTTTGTTTTTCAGTTTTGAATGAGCCAAGGGAATTTATCACAAAATATGCTGCAATGGGAATTTTTGATTTTCGTAAAAGTGGCACCACAGTATCCAAACCAACAGGAAGGGTTGCTGTGAGGGACATCTTGAATTGGGTGGACCACTGCTCAAAAGAGAGTTAAAATTATTAGCAAAATATGGTTTTGAAAGCATATCATTTTCAGTAGTGCTTTCTCCCAGCTCTCTGTTTTCTTGTACTATAAGGCATAACGAGAAATAAATACCCTAAAACACAGGCCCATCTGCATCTTCAAAAAAGTAACTAATGTGAAAAAACAGTAACCCCAGCTCTGTTTTTTTTTTTTTTTTTTTGGTTTTGTGTGTGTGTGTGTGTGTGTGTGTGTTGTTTAAAGCCCTACATAAATCAAGAGGAGGCCCACAAAGGGAAGACTGTTTGGTTTCAGGGACTGGTCTTGATTTTCTGCTTAGGATAATCAAGATCAGGAATCCATCTCTAATTAAAGGCAAACAAAAAATATGCAGGATTTTCACATACATTCTTTTCATACTCATAGTTTAACGTGTTATGTATACAGTATTCTTTTCCTTTAATTCGACTTTCTCAAATTATGTGCAGACAGCTTCAGCTGCAGGGAAGGTGGGAGTATTTAGGATATTCAGAATTTAACTGTTTCCCTCCTACTACAGAAAGACCTGTTTCAGAGGTATTCATTAGAAACGTGGTCTCTATTTTCAAGAGAAAACCTCAGTGACTCTGGTTTTGTTGTTTGTTTTTAGTATTTTTTTTTAGTGAGTAGATCCTAGTGACAGTGTTGGTCTGGCTTCTTTGAAGAAAGACATGCTTTCAGTTTTAGCAAACACAGTGCTTTTTCCTTGTCTGCTTCTGTTGTAGTTCTGGTTCTCTTTCCAGTGATTTTCCATGGAAATGTCATTCAAGGGAATGAAATTTAAGCAGGATGTGGGTTTTGTCACTTTGATGGTGATGTAGTTTCCCACATGTAAGTTTTTCATTAAGAAATTAATATTGGCAGATTGGGTATTACAGTAAACTGAACACGCTCGAGTATGCGGTGGGACCACATCGTTCTGCATGGCGATGTTCAAGTTCTCCTCTCTCCTTGCGCAGTGAAGTCTGGGGTTGATTTACATAAACTCTTAGATTTCTAGCAGCAGCACCCCATAAGTTGAACTATTCCTCATGCTTTTGGCTCCCTTTCTGAGACATATTGCTGACACTTCCATCACTGAGTCAGTATAGCCCCATCAATCAATGTCTGATGTACAGTTTTTAATAGAGGAAAAGGTTTCTGATGATAGATGTGGTTGCATTTAATTCTGTAGCAACAAGATGGATGAACAATAAAATTTGGCTGCAATAGTTCTACTCTGAGATCCTCTTCACCTAACACCTGGAGAACCCTTTCTCACACAGCTTGACTTTGTCCATTAAATGTGCCTTTCATCATTAAAGCTCTCTCTGTATGTTGAACTGAATGCTGAGGGCCAGCACAGCCTATCCTGAGGCCAGTTGTCCAGAGTGGTTTAAAACTTAACCTCTTAAGAAAGCAATGCTCTGGGTAATTTCCAGTCCAGGTAAAAAGTCAACATCTCCAGCAAAGCAGCTTCCTCAGGGAAAGAAAAAAGGCATTAAGAACAAATTTTATTGATAGTAAGAATGAATGTCTTCCTTCCCTGATGTAAGAATAATAATCACTGCAGCATTTTTTGGTAATGACTATTTATTTCTGTGAGCTCTTGGTCCAGTAGTTATAGGCATTCTGTAAATCATTTATACTGGTGTAGGTATTTGTGGGGTATGTATTTTTTACAAGTTTATTAAAAAAAAAAAAAAAAAGAAAAAAGAAAAGAAACCTGCACTGCTCACCTGGTTAGTCACCAGTGCATCCTCAGTTCTGCTTTTTTCCTTCTCTTCTGTTTGTATGGGCTTCACCATTTACTCGTCTGAAAAACTGCACGGTAAGAGAAGGCTGAAAATGGAGAACCGGGAGCTAGAACTAAAATAATTCATAAGGACATCACTGCAGGGGGAAATTGTGAAATAAAATAAGCTGCCTCCTCCCCCTGACCCTGTTCCTTTTGCTGTCTGCCTGTTCCCAGCCCTGCAGCCGTGTGGCACACACCTGGTTGTACTCAGCTTTGCTGGGCTGCTGCGACTCACTCACCAGGGTCTGCCCCATAGTGCTGAGCCCGCTGCTACTCCTCCTCTCATCTTTTCACCCTCTCGCCTGCTTCCACCCAGGCACCAGGGGCTCCCTGCAGGCTTTGCTTAGAGGCCTGGTGGGGAACAGGGCTGCTTTCAGCTGAGCGCTGGTGCTGTTCTGCTCCTTGCGGGCCGGGCTGGGTGGATGGTTTGCCTTTTTGCAGAGCAGGTCACTGGGATTGCAGTGACATGAGGACCACGTCTCGAGCAACCCACAGCTTCTCCTGCTGGGCCAGGCTGTTCTCACCCTCCAGCCAAAGCCCCCCCCCGGGGTTTCGGGCTAAGAGAGGCCACTGAATGTGCCACTGGCTTTGGTGAGAGTAAATGCCAGTTGTGTTTGGCTTTTCAGAGGCATGTTTTATAGCTTGTGGGTTTGACCGTAATATTCAGGAATATGAAATTAAATTGGAAGCAGGTAGAATTGAGCCTCTGAAGGATTTTTACGTCTTAAAACTGACTCTAAGCAAGTATCTGGTTTATGTACTCGGAGAGAAAACGCCCTCTAACTATCAGGAATCCTATTAATATCTCACTCTTTTTACAGATTTACTATAGTGGAAAAAGTTAATCTAAAAATATGTAAGAATCCTTTTCTACTGTAACTTTAAAATTGGCAATGAACAACCACAGCAACTTTGAAGTAGCTATTTTGTGTTTTGATATTGTGGCAGCTTTTCTCTATCAGCTGAAGATTATTTTTATATTGTCTTTTTCCTGTTTTCAAATACTGTAGAATACTGTGAACAGACCAGATTTTTCTGCTTCTGTATTATGAGAAATATTCTCTCATTCGAAGAATAATTTTAAAAAGAGACCTCATGTTTATCATATCACCTTCCTTTTCCAGATTCTTTTCTGTATTTTCTTTCCCTCTTCCCCTCTCTTGTAGTTTTTGACTCTGAGAATGGTTTCTGAGCTTCTTAAAACCACTTGTTCCATGATTTTTTCCTGTTTTCCAAACAATCATCAGTAGTTTCCTAGGAACTTTGCTGTCCCAGTGCCACCGCTGTGTTAATTGCAGGGTTTGGGAATTTCGGTTTGATGTGTACCGATCTGCAGTCCCTTAGTGTGAGGTCAGCCATCTTCTCTTTCCACAACACTCTCACGTGTCCGTACTGCCTCTTGTTTAAGCCGGACGATTTGCTTACACACCTGGGATCACAATTTAGTCTTGAGTAGCTAAACGCTTCATGAAATCAGTCAAAGTCTGCTGACTATTTCCGAATAAGAAAGAGGTAGTTACGCATGAGGACTATACTCCTGAGGACAGGCAAATTTGTTTTTTCGGACATGAGGGCATGCAGGATGTGCGTTGTCCTGCGTATCCCCATCCTCTGACCTGCATAAGTGTGAGAGGGAAAGAAATGTTCGTGACGCTTGCAAACTCTGTAAAGTTTCAGTCTGTTGATAAAGTAAAGAAAAAGTAAAGGCGAACTGCATGCAATTTCGAGTCATCTGCTAACTGGCTATAAATCTACAGCAGCCAATTTATCACTTCCACCAAGGCTGCAGCAATTTCAACAGGCAAGGGAATGCATCTGCTTGTTCCTGTAGCAGAGCCTATTAGGCAGGTTAAAAGCTATACGGAGATCAGCAGCATCAGGCTGCACCCAAGAGGCAAATCCCACGTGCTGGGGGACAAATGGGAGCGGTGCCCATGTGTGAGGCACCCGCCCGTGCTATGCAGGAGGCTCTTGCTGCGGAAGGGTTTTCACTGGGGTGCTGCACCCAGTGCTGGGCACTGCTCTTTGAGACTCTTACGGACTAAGGAGGGAAAATACAAGACCAGTCATGAGGATGATGAGGGATCCTGACGTTTCTCACAAGGAAGGGCTGAATGAAATGGGGTTTTTCATCTCAAAGGTGGGAAGGCTGAGGAGGAGGTACAATAACTGAGCTCACATACGTGACCACTTCATGTCCGCAGCAGGTAGAGCAAAATATGGTGAGGTGCAGCAATGAAGCTTCAGGAAAAAATTTTCTCATGACAAGCATATGGACATACTGGGTAAGCAGATTTCATCACCTGAAGTCCTTGCAGCTGCACTAAATAACCGTGGGTCAGGAACAATCTAGGTATTCCCTGCCTTTCTTAGGTGATTTTCTGAGACTGTTAACAGCCTTGAGATTTCTGTCAGGAGACAATCTATGCTCATCCTTTCCTGTATCTGAAAAACATAGAAAGTTGGGTTGTCTTTTTTTTTTTTTTTTTCTCCAAAAAAAACTTGCAGTGAAATATTAAGGTGTATTCCACATAGTGGGTCAGGTTGATGGTTGTACTTGATGATCTTGAAGGTCTTTTCCAACCTAGAAGATTCCGTGATTCTATAATGCAACGAGATGGCCTAAAAACTGTGGTATCTCTTTAAGCACCTAGTCCTGCTGTAATTTGTTAACTGGGCAATGCTGTTTTTATATGACATTCTAAATTTCAGAAGAATTTTATACGTTTCTTATCTAAAGATACACAATCACAAATTTTTAGCAACATCTCCAGAAAGGCTTGGAGCAGAGACAGACGATCCTAGTAAGAAGAAATGTGTCTCTAGGTGTAGGTGTAGCTATTCAGGACATGACAGTCCTGAGACAGCTTGTGAGGTCAGTCACTTTGCCTCCACCAACCTATCTGAAATAATGAAGCACTTACAGAGAGCTCTTGACATGCAAGTCTGAATATTTATAGTCCCTCGTGCTTTTCTAACCGTTTCAATTCAGACTTGCGCTTTTATTTTTCAAGGCAAAAGAGCACACATACTTCAAATTTACAAGGATGCAATAATAAAGATGACTCGTACCTCTCTGATAAACATGGGGTGCAAGCGTGCCGGGTTAGGAGCCCTGGGGTATTTGGAGAGCACTGCTGTACTAAACTGCAGGGGCCTCACTGTAGGCTGATAACTCAGGGTGCCAGGTCAGTGGTGAGATATCTTCGTTAAGTGCTAGCCAGAATTTGTTGGCAGGCAGTAGGGAAGTGGATAGAGGACTCGAAGGTCAGATGTTTTTCCAAGTTTGTCACAAGCATGCATTAAGGAACAGCACTGTGGGGGTGGACAGGGCTGAGACGCTAGATTTAAGCAGGAGACTGGTGCCTGATACCAGCATCTTTGCAGACAGGAGTGTGGATAAAAGGGCACAAAACCGTGATGCTGTTTTTCTTCAGGCTTCTGAAATAATGAAATAACTGTGGAGCTGCCCATAACATATCAGTGTTAACCCTGCTCTGTTCAGTACAGAAACTGATGGCACACGGTTTCGGGAGTTTCGAGGTGTGTCTGCAAAATGTCATGTAGGTTCCTGGTGGTGCCGTTGCAAGCAGGACAGATTTTAACTGCTTGGGCAGAGGGACATAAATACTCTAAATGCTCTACAAAACCAGACCCGTGGGCCATCTCATCCAGCGCACTTTCTCTTCAGCAGCACAAATGACTGTAGCTGCTACGTAGTGAGACTATGCAAACTTAGTCACTTCCTCTGGTTCATTCCCCCCTTTCATTGCCCCCGACCCACCCCTGTTGCATTCAGGATGTTAAAGGGTCCATTCATCCTGTTTTTTTTCTGTTTATGGACCTACCACTCACAAATTTGTGTGATCCTTTCTGAACCCAATGACGCTGTGTATCTCCACAATTTCCTGGGGCAGCAATTTCCACAAAATGTGCAAGAGGTATAGTGAGACTTTTCGTGAGAGGGACCCCGGAGCCTGCCTTTCTGATTTTCTTTCTAGAAAGTTTTGTTTCCTGCATTTTGGTCACACCAAAATAATAGCTTGGACACATGGACCAGGAGGGCAGTTTTCCCTCTGCCCCTTAATTTGCACATATTTGTAGCTTTTCTGCTGGCTCCTGGTGCAGTCCCATCTCTGTGGCAGGAGAGGCTGCTGGTGGAGCAATCACTGAGGCTTCCTGTGGCTCTCTCAGGTCCTCCTTGCAGAAGGATTTAAGCACATGGAGGTTTCGGCTGGTAAAAGGTGAGTACAGCCCAAGGCTTCCAGTGATTTCCAGGTAGCCCTTAGATGGTGACAGGCTGACTTCATCCATCAAAATGTGAAGTTGGTCTTTCTTCCCCTTGGTACGTGTTGACTCAGAAATGCACCCTGCAGCCATTTAGGCATGCTGAATTTTGTACTGTGGGAGTGAAAGAGAAGGAAAAAGCCTTTCACCTTGTTAACTGAGCAAACTGTATTTTCTATGGCTGGCAGTACTACGCCTTCTTCACGTCATTTTTGCAATAACCTTCTGACTCTAACTACACTGTAAACTACGGCCAGAGCTGCATTTTCAAAGCTCACACCTGGAGCTTCTAAACAATTCCTTTATTGAATTTGACAGTGGTGGTGGTAGCTCACCAGGTACTGCTGCAGCCAGAAAAGGGGTTTGGTCTAGAAGGAAACAGAAAAAAAACTTGCATTTGGGTGTTTTGTTGTAGTTGGTTTGTTGTTGCTTGTTGTTGTTTTGTTTGTTGTTTTGTTTTGTTTTCTCTGCAATGGATTTGATTTGATTGATCTGAAGATGTTTGTACCTGGGTTTGGGAGAGGCAGGCTCTTCTTTTTTTTTTTTTTCTTTTTGCCAATCATTGTCAGCTGTGTTTATAGTTTCCAAGAAACAGTGGTCAAGAAAGACAAAAATACGTATATTAGAATGGTTAGAAGGTTGGTCTCTTGATTTTTTATTATTATTTAAAAATTATCCTTGAACTTTCGTTATGGATTTATGCTTTTTCTCTGTAGACAAAAACCTCTCAGGGGCCTGGAGGGTTACAGAAGCTGAGATGAAACATCTTGATTCCTTCAGGTGCAGTAACATATATTTGGGGAATTTTTTAAAGTATTTCTTTAAGTTTTTATGTATTCAGAGGCACACACACACCTTTAAACTGATATCTAAAAATTCTAAAGAGTATGTGTGTTTGTCTGCCGTACATGTACAGCTATTCTTATGCATGTAAACAAAACCACATTTTGTTTAACATACTTGTTGATAACTGCCTAAGGCTGAACGGCTAAAATCCTGATTTGCTGCACCTCTGAAAGCGACCGCTGGGCTGGAAGGGCTGCCCTTGCAGATCACAGCCTTGCTTCGTCTCGTCTCGGTGGAAATGGTTTGCAGCGTGAGTC